GAGCAGCTCCCACAGCCCCAGAGCAGTTCTGGAGCAGCTCCCACAGTTCCTGGAGCAGCTGCAGCTCCCAAATCTGTGGTGCCCTCTGCTGGGCCCTGAGCCCTGAGCTCGGCTGGCAYTGCCCATCCTGAAGGGTTTKATCAGCCTTGGCATTYCTGATCYTGAGGARAACTCCCMRRTTTAATCCTTGAACACACACGGAGATGGTGAACTCAAGCACAGAGATGGTGAGCTCACAGCACAGCCTTGCACACCCCTGTGCTGTCCTGCAGCTCCTCCAKGTGCTCCTGGGGCTGGAAAACCTTGGGAAATGGTCACCCTGACCAGGATTCCATAAATAGGGCTTTACAGGCAGTGCTGCTGTGCATTCAACTCTCGTTCTCTGGGCTGTTTTTGTTCCTTTGTCACCTTGCAGTGGTTTCGGAACAAAGAAATATCCGTGGGTTGTGGAGAATTCACATCTCTGTGGTGTTTCTCCATCCCAGGGGAGGTGGATTGGATTTTCCCCAATGGAATTGTCCCCTTTTGATGTTCAGGGTGTCCAAGACTTGTGGGAAATGCAAAAGATGGCAAAAAACAGGACGCAATAATAACAATAAATAATAATAAATAAACCCTCCCTTTGACACCTAAGCAGAATAAATTGGAAGCCAGAAGAGTTTTAAGTATTATTTGGGTGTTGTTTTCAAAGTTGGTAATGATTGATTAATTAAATAAATATAATTTCAATCTGGTTTCTGGAACCTTTGGTTTTTTTAACAGAGTGCAACTGTTTCATCCTCCTTAATAATTTCGACTTAAGATTTTTCCAGTGGTTAAACTGAATATTATTGATTATTAATGGTTTGATTTCTCTTAATCTGCTTTTTTCAGTTTTGTTGCTGACTGTCCCTGGAATGGAAGAAACCACCTCTGATGCAGACAAAACCCTCTCTAAGCAGGGCTGGGACACTAAAAAGGTGGGGATTGTACATTCCAGAGTGTAGAAAGTTAATTTCCTAAACATACTTAGATAAATGAATSCTTTAATTACTGTCAGTATTAAACYCCTTGAAGAGATTGGAGAGGAAATGCTGTGTTTGGAAAACAAATCATAAACATCAGGTTAGAAAGGCATTTTGTGTTGAGTATGAATGCACAGGCTTGGTTATATGAGGAGAAACTCTAAATTTGAGATTTGTTGGGTCAATAAAGCAAAAAAAAATATAAATATCTTTTGAAGAGCTCTCAGATCTTCCATAGAAATGATTAAATTAAAGTTATTAATTGAATCTCCTAGGCAATACCCTCCAGCAGCATTTTTGCTTTTAAATCTCTCTTCCTTCTATTTCAGACTGGGTCATCGAGACCTAAATCCTGTGAAGTTCCAGGAATCAAGTAAGTTTTCAGCAATTTTTATTTTAAGAGCAGTCWGATATTGAAGAAAAAATGTTGTGTGTGGAATCTCCATGAATTTCCTCTTGCTTTGGAATTTTCTGGAAAGCCTTTAGAGGCTTGAGCTCCAAACCCTCTGGACCCAAACCCTCCAAAACCTCCAAAACTTCAATATCCATCCAAAATACCTTCTGTACAGAATTTTCTTGTTCAATACATTTAAAAAGCTCTGTCCAGGYTGAAATTCCAGTGCAATTGAGGCATTTTTTYCCTCCCAAAYGCAGCATTTTCCCATCAGCCGACCAGGAGAACACTACAGCGCTGATTCCTGCCACGCACAACACGGGCGGCTCCCTGCCWGACCTGACCAACATCCACTTCCCCTCGCCCCTCCCCACGCCCCTGGACCCCGAGGAATCCACATTCCCAGCCCTGAGCAGCTCCAACAGCACGGGCAACCTCGCTGCCAACCTGACCCACCTGGGCATCAGCACTGCCAGCCAGGGTGAGCTCCCCAAAACCGCGGTTTTATTGAGCTTTAGTGTTGGGGGTTTCCTTTCAAACAGGCTTGATGTGTGCAAAAAAAAATGGGAAAGCTGTGTTTATCTCATGTATATCTGCTTTTTTGGGATTTGTTTGGGATTTTCTTAATGTTTATTTACTTATTTATTAATGTCCAAGACTGGAGTTCCTCTCTTGGAATTCCTTGTCCTGAGCAGCCCCAACRTCCCTTGTGTTMTGGGASTRTCTCCWGCAGACCTTCTGTTCCCATTTCTTTATTCTTTTTAATATGAGGATCCTTTTGGAGTCTGTCATTGATTAATATTGTAATTATTGATTGCTATTTTTAATCCATTTCACTGCTTTACACTCAAATAATTATGAAGAAGGTTGTTTTTTTTTATTACCAGTGACAGTTGATTCCTAGAATAGAAATGAGGTGTTGTATCCAAAAATACAAATTTATTTCCTGTGCTGGGCAGGATTCCCTTTCCCACTTCTCCTGTATTTGGGAAAAGGAAATTATTGCAGTCAGGATGATGTGGCTGAGCAGGTGAGTTTGGGAAGCAAGGAAGGGATTGAACCATTTGAAGACACAGTGGGGCAGCACTTTGAGCATCCTTGGAAGAGATTCTTGATCTCCAAAGTTTCAGGGATGGGCTTAGAAATTAGAATTTAGAACCCAGTGGGTCTCCACGTTTTTTTCCCATAATAAGCAAATCAAATGGTATAAACCCAAAGTGGTGAGGCTGTAACTGCTTTGAAAACATTCCCTGATCTGTCAAAGACAGAACAAATTAAAGATGCACTCCCTGATGGTGTTCCTTTGTGTGTCTGGAGTTCACCCCACAGTTTGTCCATTGCCCCAGTCAGTGTTTGGTGCTTCTTAAACTGCTTTTTCCAGCCTTTCCTTGCTGCTCCTTAGCAGGAAAGCCCCATGAAGGTTTCTGGTGCTCAGGAATGGCACAGGATYGCAGTTTGTGCCTCGGCAGCCCCAGGAGGGGTGGCAGTGCCACCCTGTGCCATGTCCCCACTGTTTGTGCTGGGGGTGCGGGTCCCTGTCACCATCCCAGGAGCGATGCCAGCCTGGCCCGAGCCCCTTTGCCCGCTGGCTCCTTGGCAGCCTGGCCTTCCTGGCTCCCTGGCTCCCTGCCTGGCAGCCCTGAGCCCTTGCCAAGTGCCTGGAGCTCGCAGGCTCCTGTGAATTCCTGCTTCTGGCAGCTCCGGGAGAACAGCTCTCACTCCTTGGCCTCAGATCACTTCCCGGGGTGCCTGGGTTCTCTGGGGTGAAGCACAGTGGAGGGGAGCTTTCTAAACTCACAGATTTTTGGCTTGATCTGAACAAAATGCCAATATTTGGGTTGTTTATCCCTGTCCCCTGCTGGGCCGTGGCTCTTGGGAGTGTGGTGGATATTTCCTGCGCTGCTGCGCCATTGAAAATGGAGCTCTTCCTGCGTAACCAGTTTGGTTTCTGCTGTTCCCATCAAAGAGGTGTTTGCTTTTCCAGTAGCTCCAGTGCCCTGTGATAAGCCTGGTTATCTCATTCCCAGAGTGGGAACCCAAACARAGAGAGCAGAAGCTGCTTTTGGCGGCCCGGCCAGCGCAGGTGTGTGAGGACGGTTCCTGTGGTGTGGGGACCTGCTGGGGCTGCTCTGCCCGTTCCAGTTCCATCCTGGGCACCAACCTCASCAACCGTGCTGGGCTTGAGCCAGCACAAACCACAGGGATCTTCCTCTCATSCTGATGCTCTTCACCCTGACAGAATTCATTACAAATCACCCAAGGAGCTCCTGCCCAACTGAGGCGCCTCTGCTCGTTGTTCCTGGTTTAGGGAACTCTTTGGGGTCACAGTGTCCCCGAGGTTTTGCTGTGCCCCTGCTGAAGGTTTCTGTTATTCCCAGCAGGAATGACGACGACGCCGGCCCCGTCCCAGCACCGCCAGCCCAGCGTCAGCCCCCTGTCCCTGGGCGCGGACACGCGGCGAGCGCAGCCCCAGCAAATGTCCCCCACGCTGTCCCCTCTCTCACCCATCACTCAGGTAGGAATTCATGGCCAATTCAAGGGTTCTCATCGCAGGCTCAGGCTGGAAGTTTGGCTCAAAGAGCCGTGGGCAGGGTTAGGTGGGGTTTTGGGAAGGAATTCCTCCCTGGGAGGGTGGGAAGGGGCTGGCACAGAGGAGCTGTGGCTCTCCCTGGATCCCTGGCAGTGCCCAAGGCCAGGCTGGACGGGGCTTGGGGCACCCTGATTTTGTGGAAAGTGTCTCTGCCCATGGGACAAGGTGAGCTTTAAGGTCCTTTCCAACCCCAAGGAATTTCAGCTCTTGTTCTGTAATTTCYTCCTTTAAAGGTGCTCCTGAATTCAGGGCCTTAAAAAGGGACAGGTTTGTAGAGTTCATAGATTTCACTTCCTCTTCTATAAGCTTGGCTCTGTGACTGCCCAGATTGGTGATTCCTGACCTCGAGGTTTCACAGTGTTGGTTTATACACTGGAGGTGATGCTGAGTSTTTGGAAATACAGAATCCAGGATGGTTTGGGTTGGAAGGGACCTGAAACCTCCCCCAGTTCCCCCCTGCCAGGGCAGGACCATCTTCCCTCGGAACAATTCTTCACTCCCTGAACCTTCAGGTGCCGTTTTTGGGACACAACCCAAGGCTGGCTCAGTGCTCCTGGTGTGGAGTGCTTGAGCCCCGAGGGAATTCCCTGCCAGCGTGGCTGACTCTGCTCCTTCTCTTGCAGGCCGTGGCYATGGATGCATTGTCCCTGGAGCAGCAGCTCCCCCCGTACCCTTTTTTCACCCAGACCAGCTCCCAGCAGCAGCAGCAGGCRCCGGTGGCCAGTTCCCTGCCCCAGCCCCCTCCTCTGCTGCAGAGCTCGGGGCTGCAGAGGGGTCCCCAGCTGCCCCCTCTGTCCGTCACGGTACCTTCCACCATCCCCCAGTCACCTCCAGGGAGCCAGAGCCAGCCCTCCATGGGAATAGACATCAACTCGGTGAGTGTGAGGAGCAGAGCTGGGGCTGGGCAGTGTGGGGGCACATCAGCCTGGAGGATTTTGGGGAGGCTGAAGTGAGCTCAGGATGGGTTTGGTTCAATCCACCTTTAAATGCTTCCTGACATTAAAGTTTGTCCCAGGTTTGATTAGACCCGGCTTAAATTACTGGGAGATTGTCAGGGTGTTCAGTGTCCCCCCAGCACCTTGTGTTACACACTGGGGGAGCTCCCAGAGCCTTGAGAAAGAATCCAGCTACAACGGGCAATTTCCAATCCAAATACCATCTGCAAAAGTTGTTTTCCAAAAGTTGTCAAGAACCAGCTATTTCCTGCACTTTCTCTGTGCAGAACCCGTTCACTTTAAGGAATTTTCAGGCACTGTTATGTTCCAGAATGGGATTTGTGGCTGCCTGCAGTGCCCAGAATGGCAGTGTATCTGTGAGGATTTATGGACAGATCCCTTTTCCTGCTTGTTTTACCGTGCTCAGTTAGGAAATGTTCTGTCCAAAGCAGGGATCCCAGGCAGTCAGGGAGGGATGTCCCAGCTCCTCCTGCTCCTTCTGCCCCGTGGAGGGTCCTGCTTGTCCCACCCGTGGTGTCCTGGCAGTGCTGCAGTGACAGCAATGAGGTTGGGAATGAGAACAAATCATTTCTATTGATCTGCACTCGATTGTGGATGAAATTTTAAACAGTTGGGGCTCCTTGAGAGCAGCTGCTTCCCTTCCAGGATGGGAAGGGGAAGAGGGAAGGACAGTCCAGCAGTGGAAAGGATCCCACCCCACTCAAAATGTGTCCCTGTTTTGATTCTAATCCTCATGTAGCACCAGTACAGACAATTCTGATCTCATCCTTTGCTTTCTGTGTTGCTTTCCTCATCCTAAACCTCTTTATGACCTGAACTTCTAGGCTGCTGTGCTTATCTTCTCCAGCAAAACTGAAGTAATTCCTAAATAAACAAATTTAAAGCCACTTTATCAAAAAGCCTTTGGAGCTGTCACAGCCTYGCTGGCAACTTCTGCACAGGTCCTGTGAAGCAGAATTGAAAWTTCATTTGGGTGGCTGCTGACAGGGTCTAAGTGGCAATGCAGAGCAAAAGGGGAAATTTTCTTGGGATTTACAGAATTTTTGGTCAGAAATTGATAGTACAGCRTTCTCCACGCTGCAAATCTGATTAAATTCACTGGATTGCAGGTTTTCCTCAATCACCCCTTTATTTCTAAAGGAAGTAGAATGAGAAGAGCTGGGCTATTCTTTGTTTTAATAGTGCAACATTACTTAAATACCATTAATATTATTATTTTTTTCCAAAGCAAGATTCTTTATGAAGGAAAAAAGAGTTAAAGCTTTGAAAAAAAAAAAACTTCTCAAGACACCTGAGAAGAATGTAAAAATCACAGCTGTAAACCTGCAGAGCACAGTGAGAGTTCCCAGAGGGAATTCTGTTCCTTATCCAGTGAKTCTGGGGAGATCCCAGCCTGTGTGGGGACAGATTTACAGCCCAGGTTTATCAGACAATGTTATCAGCTGCACCTCAGTGCTGATAACACAGCTGGAGGCAGAGCAGGATCCCAGAGCAGCATAAACCCAGATGTGGGGCTGGCACTTGAACTGAAGCATGAATGACATTCTTTTTGAATTATTCCCAGCTTCCAAGGCTTCTTTGCCCTAAATCCTTGGCTGACCTGATTTTTTTTTAATTTTTTTTTGATGTTTTGAGTTGAGCAAACAGAGCCGGCAGGAAACGCTCCCAGTTGTTCCTGTCCCCGCTCTGGGCAGACCCTGCCACGCTGGCCCGGAGCTGTCCCATGTTTGCCATCACTCCCAGGAGCCTGTGTTCCCTGACAGAGGGTGAAGAGGATGCTTTGTGCCAGCTCCATCCCTCAGGAGCTGGTGTTTGCAGCTCCCTCAATGCCGTGGTGTTTATTCTGTGTTGTTCTGTAGGCCTCCCTCCAGCAGTACCGCAGTAATGCTGGCTCCCCAGCCAACCAGTCTCCCACCTCTCCTGTCTCCAATCAAGGCTTCTCTCCTGGCAGCTCCCCTCAAGTAAGGGACTCTGTGCTTCCACAGGCCTTGCTTCTCGTGTGTGTTCTGAGCTGGGCTCTCCATCACTGCCCGTGCTTGTCTYGCTGTCACTCCCTGTGTGCCTCATGCGTCACCGATGTCCCATCTCGGCCGCCTTTCCATCGCTCCCTTAGCTTTCAGGAGCTGCTGAATTGCCTTTGTAGGGGATCCCAGAGCCAGGCTGCTCCTGGAGCACTGCCTGCTGKGGGTTTGGTGGGCAGCACCTCCAGRTARAACCMTTTCAATTCCYGGGATCTGGGGGAACKGATGGGTGTGAAGTTGGGAGGGCAAGAAAGACGGGAATTTCAGTGCCTCCTGAGTATTTCAATATTTACACTAAATATCCCARACTTACTTAGATCAGGATCTTTTTTATGTGGGAACACACCCTGTGAGAGAAAACACTGGAGCAAATGCTCTTAAAATGAGCAGCTTGTGGCTGGCAGGGAATGTGCTCCCAGCACCCGTGTGTGCCAGCTGCTTTTCCTTCTCTGGGTGTATCTGCTCACACATCCACATGTCCTGGATGGAAATCACAACTTGGGAGAGTCTGTGATCCTCTGAACGGGGATTTCTACCTGCCAGCAGTAAAAAATTAAAAAGGACCAGACTTTGAGGGCGCCCCAGTGTAGGGAAATGCATTTTCARTGCCTGATGCTGCTGAAGGAGCCCCAGCTGGCTGCTCTGTGGAATCCCACCTGGAGAAAAGAAGTGCAGGGAATTCTCCCAGAGCATCACAAGAGTCTGAAAATCCATTTTGTGTTTTGTCACTGAAYGTTGGAGGCTGTAAGGAGGATCCTTTCTAAGCACTGCCCCTGCACGGTTCCAGGTTTCATTCATTTGCCAGATCATGTAGGCTCGGCCCAGGTCCGAGGGGCAGGAATTGGCTGGATTTCCTCAACCCTGGCTTTAACCTCTCTCTTGTGCCTGCTCCTGTGAGCTCTGCTGTGCTCTGTGTGCCTCCAGAAACCAGCACTGTCCCCTCGAGCAGAGCTTGCTGTAAACTCTCAGTTCTCACTGGGCAGCACGTCCAGATTTGGTTTTTATGTTGATTTTTCCCCCTTTGATTTCTCGATAACTCTGGCTTGGGTTTGTCCCCAGRCTCGTCCCTGCTGGTCAGTGCAGAGTGCAGCAAGTGGAGCACCCACTGGGCTCTGATTTTTCCTGCTGGTTTTATCCTGTAAAACCTTTCTTAGGATTTGGTTTTTTCAAGAGGGACACCACAACTCTGGGTGGAAGGCAGAGGATTTATTAATTCTGCTCTCTGTAGTATTGGCCTCTTAAATACCCACAGAATTCCTTATTTTTGCTCAATTAAAACCGAGGTGGATTAGCTGCTTCCAGGAATGTTCTGGTAGCTGGAAGTGGTCACAAATATGAAATGTGGAGAGAAGGAAAACCAGTTTGGAGGGGAAATTGGGGTTGGTTGTGAAGATGGGGCAGCTCCCAGGCAGCAGAATCCCTGAATCTGCCCAGAGATGCCTCCAGCAGCAGGATATTCCTTGGWGGAGCAGTCAGGCCCTGCTGGGCGGGATGCAGGGGTGGCACTGTCTCTCCTGGCTTTGGGTTTGATGCTCTGAGTGACAAAGGACATTCCCTAAACCCCACACCAGGGCTTTGCTTTGTGTCCCCACGGTTCATCCACCTCTTCTCCATTCTCCCCTGTCCCAGCCGTGTGTGTGTCCCCCAGCCCCGGGGTGGGAGAGCTCTGCCTGCCCCCAGCTCTGTGTCTGCATGGCTTCCACCCCGTGCCTTGTGCTCCCTGCTCACCCCTGCATCCTGTCACACTCCAATATTCCTGCTCCAGTGCCTCTCACCTGGAGAACCTGGTAGGTATTTTTAGTTGGCTCATTCCAGCCAGGGATTGGTGCTTTGGGGTTGGTTTTTTCTCCAGTCTCTTCGTGAACCCCAGAAGATGCTCTGGGGACAAACCAGGCCCATCCAGCGGTTCTGGAGATGGTGTTTGCATGATGGTGGTCCTGGAGATGAAATAATCCTTTGATAAATTATCCTGAGGCTCTGAAGTGTTGCAGGAATGGCACTTCCAGCGGGTTTCCTTCGGGAATTTTGGTGCTTGCAGCTGTAGGAACCAGAGCATTTCATGGGAGGAGCAAACCCAGGCTGGGTTTTGGTGGGAGGCACCAACCTGGGCTTGCACAAACACTCTCTGCTCTCCTGTTGATTATTTCTCGTGTTCTCCAGTTTTTGGGATGGGAACAATGCTTAATGAAATGCAAAGGTTTTAGGGATTGTCCTCATTTTGGGAATTGTCCTTTCATTCCCATTCTGTGGAACTCTGATAGGAGTTAAAGGGAAAAATACCTCGATCCTCTTTGGAGCTGTTGGACAGAAATTGGATTTTAGTGCTGGTTTTGCTTCCCATGGAGTCTGTGCCATTCCAAAATTGGAATTTATTGTTAGAAATGGTCATAAACCATAGGCTGGATTTGATTTAGGTTGGAATCAGTGATCTCAGAGGTCTTTTCCAACCCGATTGATCCTGTGATCACTCAGTGCTGTTCCTTCCACTCCTGGGATTCATTTTCCTTTGTGGAGCTGAGCTTGGCTGCTCCTGTTCCCGTGGCTTGAGCGAGCTCTGGGTTCTGCCCTCAGCCTTTCCAGGAGCAGCAGTTGGGGCAGGTTGGATAATGTGGGGTTGGAGTGGGGTTGGGGTAGTTGATCAAAGCGTGGTGGGGGCAGCAGATCAGATCAGATCMSATCTCAGTGGTTAAAAACCCCCAGATTTTCCTTCCAATTGCTCTGAGTCGTGCTGTGCTTCTCTCTTATCCGTGGCTCCTGTTTGTAAATCCCGGTTTTCCGGGAGCAGCCTGTGGGGTTCTGTGGTGTCCCCGTGGCCGGTGCGGGGTCCGGGCGATTCCCAGTGCTCCCGGTGGATCCTTCGGCTCCTGAGGGATTGCACCTGCTCTCTGAGGGTTCTGTGGGATTCCTGAGGGCTCTGTGGGATTCCTGAGGGCTCTCTTGGGATCCTCTGGGATCCTCTGGGCCCTGTGGGATTCCATCTGCTCTGTGAGGGCCCTGTGGGATTCCTGAGGGCTCTGAGGGATTCCACCTGCTCTGTGAGGGCTCTGTGGGATTCCTGCCTGCTCTGTGAGGGCCTTGGGGAATTGTGAGGGCTCTGTGGGACTCCTGCCTGCTCTGTTGGGGTCCTCTGGGATCCTCTGGGCTGTGTGGGATTCCCACCAGCTCTGTGAGTGCTCCGGGGAATCCTGAGGGCCCTGTGGTATTCCTGCCTGCTCCCTGTGGATTCTCTGGGATTCTTTGAGGTCCTCTGGGCTCTGTGGGATTCGCGCCTGCTCCGTGAGGGCCCTGAGGAATTGTGAGGGCTCTGTGGGATTCTTGCCTGCTCTGTTGGGATCCATTGGGATCCTCTGGGATTCTCTGGGCTCTGTGGGATTCTGCCTTCTCTGTGAGGGGAATCCTGAGGGCTCTGTGGGATTCCCACCTTCTCCATGAGGGCTCTGGGGAATCCTGAGGGCTCTGTGGGATTCCTGCCTTTTCTGTGAGGGTCCTGAGGAAATGTGGGCCCTGAGGGCTCTGTGGGATTCCTGAAGGCTGTGTGGGATTCCCGCCAGCTCCCTGAGGATCCTCTGGGCCCCAGGCGGTTCCCTCTCACTCCGTGAGGGCTCCGGGCAGTTCCCGCCCGCCGGGTGCGGATTTCTCCGGAATTGCTGTATTTCTCCAGAATTGCTGTATTTCTCCAGAATTGCTGTATTTCTCCGGAGTTGCCGGATTTCTCCGGAATTGCCGGATTTCTCCGGAATTGCTGTATTTCTCTGGAGTTGCCAGATTTCTCCAGAATTACTGTATTTCTCCGGAATCGCTGCATTTCTCCGGATTTCTCCGGAATCGCCGGTGCCGGGGGAGAGCCGGAATGGAGGATTTTGCACCATAAAGCCTCTGTTTTGTTTTCAGCATTCTTCCATGCTGGGCAGTGTTTTTGGGGACTCCTATTATGAGCAGCAGATGACAGCTAGGCAGGCTAATGCCCTCTCCCACCAGGTGAGCAAATTCATCTCGGGCCTGCCTCGGCCTCTCCCACGGCAAATTAATTCCAATTAATTCTTGATTAATTTTCTGTCACGTCCCCGTTTTGTCCATGTTGAGTTTTCCTTCTTTTTGTTTGTCTTCCTCAGTTCCTTGTTCCGTTTGGTTTCCCACCCCACCTTTCACTCTTTGTCCCTCCCCATCCCACACAGGTGTTTCAGGTGTTCTGCCAAAAAAAAAGGAAAGGAAAATTAATTAAAAAAATCCTAATAATGAAGCTTTTTTAAATTAAAAGATAGCAGGCAACTGTGAAAAGGAGCAAAAAGAAAATTTTCAAGCGATGAAAGCCGGCTCAAAAAAGGAAAAATAAGGAAGTTTGCAAGAGGAAAAATAGTGAGGATTTTAAAATGGAAATCTGGTTTAAAAGGGAAGGATAAGGAGAAGAAAATTTTAAAATAATGAAAAATCTTAAAAGGAAAAAGAGTGAAATATGAAAGGAAAAATACTGAAATTTTAAATAATGAAATTTTATTTTAAAGAGGATAAAAAATGAAAATGAATTCCCAAAATAATTAAATTTTAAAAAAAATTTTATACAGGAAAACAATGCACTTGGATTTTAAAATGACAAAAGTCTTTAAAATATTGAAAAAATCTGACTAAATTTAAGATACCACAAATTTTTAAAATTAAACATCATGGAAATTCTTAAGAAATTAAAATAATTAAATATTTCAAGCTTCACATTTCAGTTAGTTACAATTGGGAAGGATTCCCTTGTAGGTGATGACAGTATTGATTCCACAATTTGGGAATAACCCATGCCTGGTGCAGAACCTCCCTTGGTGTGGCCAACCAGAGCATGGATTCATGAAATTATGGAATACTTAAACTCCTGAGAGGGAATTCTGATGGGCAGAGACCTCAGGGACAGCCTGAATTCCCTTTTTTTTCCTTTAAAAACTCCCTTTTCTTTGGTTCTCCCGATTGCCCACGCCCCAGTTTGATTTGTGCATCCCTCATCCCCCTCCTCCAAATTCGGCAGGAATTGTCCCGGACAGGGACAGGACAAAAGCCCCTCGATTGAGCAAGGAAAGCTACAGATGAATTTGTTTGCAAGGAAAGCTGCAGATGAATTTGTTTGCAAGGAAAGCT